TGGAGTAATGTTACAGGAAAGTTTTCATGCAATAAGCAGAAACAACAGACTATAAATTGAACAGACGTCACAGACAATACATTTATTTCACAAAGAAATTAAATAATAACAAATTAAAAATTAAAAATTTGTATACTCACCTTACCTTTCCTGGTGCATCTTCATGGCAGCATACGCCGGATTGTGGCTCCACCCCTGCAAACTGAAAGGACTGGTTTCCGGCTAGACTCCCCCCACCCCCCCCCCCCACAGCATCCTCGAAGCTTTCACCTCAAGGGTGGGAATCTGTATGCCGCCATGAAGATGCACCAGGTAAGGAAAAGTATAGAAAGGCGAGGATACGATTTTCCATTTTCCTGGTGCATCATGGCAGCCTACACTGGGAAATAACTCGACAGTAGAGTGATGCAGAAAAAAAAAAAAAAACAAATTTATTACCAGGAACCGCCATGACCAGTATGGACCATGGGCCTGCTGAACTCTACTGTCATAAGCTGCGCCGGATCCACATGGTAATGCATAATGAACGAATTCCTGGACGACCACCACTGTACAGATAATTTCTGGGGGATTTCTGAAGGTTGTCCCTGCCCTCTGAAGGTTGCCACTTCCCTCTGAAGGTTGTCCCTGCCCTCTGAAGGTTGTCACTGCCATCTGAAGGTTGCCACTGCCCTCTGAAGGTTGTCCCTGCCCTCTGAAGGTTGCCACTTCCCTCTGAAGGTTGTCCCTGCCCTTTGAAGGTTGTCCCTGCCCTCTGAAGGTTGTCCCTGCCCTCTGAAGGTTATTCCTGCCCTCTGAAGGTTGCCACTGCCCTCTGAAGGCTGTCCCTGCCCTTTGAAGGTTGTCCCTGCCCTCTGAAGGTTGTCCCCACCCTTTGAAGGTTGTCCCTACCCTTTGAAGGTTGTCCCCACCCTCTGAAGGTTGTCCCCGCCCTCTGAAGGTTGTCCCTGCCCTCTGAAGGTTGCCACTGCCCTCTGAAGGTTGTCCCTGCCCTCTGAAGGTTGCCACTGCCCTCTGAAGGTTGACCCTGCCCTCTGAAGGTTTCCACTTTCCTCTGAAGGTTGCCACGGCCCTTTGAAGGTTGCCACTGCCCTTTGAAGGTTGTCACTTCCCTCTGAAGGTTGTCCCCGCCCTTTGAAGGTTGTCCCCGCCCTCTGAAGGTTGTCCCTGCCCCCTGAAGGTTGTCACTGCCCTCTTAAGGTTGTCCCTGCCCTCTGAAGTTTGTCCCCCGCCCTTTGAAGGTTGTCCCTGCCCTCTGAAGGTTGTCCCTGCCCTCTGAAGGTTCTCCCTGCCCTCGTGGAATGTGCTCAAGAATAATACAAAGGTCCAGACCAAAAGAGCAGCAGGATCTGACCTCTCGGTAGTGAAACCTCCAGTGCAGCAAAGTCATAAAGTCACAAATTGCTTCTAATAGTGGAGCCAACAGTGCAAAAGTGATGTAATTGCCAAGAACACTCAGAGGTAACCTGTGGACTCCGGCGCCATCTTGGAAACTGGCAAAGGAGATCCTAGCTGTTGTCACTTCCCGCCGGGCATGCTCAGAAGCTCCAAAGTGTGTCTGCCATCTTATAAGAGGGCACAGGAACCCAGGAGGACCACGGGGCTCAAGAGAACAATGAGACATATCAGAAAGATAAAAAAGGAAGGAAGTAAAAGAGAAGCGCGGCAGAGAACCAGGCCTGTTCAAAGCTCTTTGCAATGCTGGCCACCACACCGAGGAGACCACCAGACTGGGGCTCCCTCCATAGGGGCTGCTCGGGACACCGACTTCCACCCAGGAGAAGCTGAATATGGCTGGGGTAAGGGGTATCACGTATCCATTCAGTCCCAATCAGGTGAGGACAAAAAGGGGGAATGCTGTGGGGGCTGGGGGGGGGGGGGAGGTCTAGCCAGAAACGTATAGTTAACCTGTCCAATCAGATGTGGGGGTGGAGCCACAACCCATGCTGCGCCAGGAAATACATTTTATCTCTATGATGACAATAGAGTTACTTTAGAAAAATGTAGCTTTTTTCCTTATAAACAAAATAGAAAAATAAATTAATAAAAAAATATATATATATATATGTAAATTATATTTATATATATATAAAATTATATTTTTATCTATCCAGAAACCAGTCCAATCAGATGTGGGATACATTTTATCTCTATGATGACAGTAGAGTTCCTTTAGAAAAATGTAGCTTTTCTCCTTATAAACAAAATAGAAAAATAAATTAACTAATTAAAGAAAAAAAATATATATATATATATATGTAAATTATATTTTTAAATATATCTATATATCTATATATACAGTGGGGATCGAAAGTTTGGGCACCCCAGCTAAAAATTTCTATTAATGTGCATAAAGAAGCCAAGGAAAGATGGAAAAATCTCCAAAAGGCATCAAATTACAGATTAGACATTCTTATAATATGTCAACAAAAGTTAGATTTTATTTCCATCATTTACACTTTCATAATAACAGAAAACAAAAAAAAATGGCGTCTGCAAAAGTTTGGGCACCCTGCAGAGTTAATATCTTGTACTGCCCCCTTTGGCAAGTATCACAGCTTGTAAACGCTTTTTGTAGCCAGCCAAGAGTCTTTCAATTCTTGTTTGAGGTATCTTTGCCCATTCTTCCTTACAAAAGTCTTCCAGTTCTTTGAGATTTCTGGGCTGTCTGTCACGCACTGCTCTTTTAAGGTCTATCCGTAGATTTTCAATTATGTTGAGGTCAGGAGATTGTGAAGGCCATGGCAAAACCTTCAGTTTACACCTCTTGATGTAATCCCCCGTGGATTTCGAGGTGTGTTTAGGATCATTATCCATTTGTAAAAACCATACTCTCTTTAACTTCAGCTTTTTCACAGATGGCATCAAGTTACCATCCAAAATTTGCTGAAATTTTATTGAATCCATTTTTCCTTCTACTCATGAGATGTTCCCTGTGCCACTGGATGCAACACAACCCCAAAGCATGATTGATCCAACCCCATGCTTAACAGTTGGACAGAGGTTCTTTTCATTAAATTCTGTGCCCCTTCTTCTCCAAACGTACCTTTGCTCATTCCGGCCAAAAAGTTCAATTTTAACCTCATCGGTCCACAGAACTTGTTTCCAAAATGACTCAGGCTTGTCTATATGTTAATTTGCAAAGTTCAAACGATGATTTTTGTGGTGAGGACGTAGAAGAGGTTTTCTTCTGATGACTCTTCCATGAAGACCATATTTGTACAAGTATCTCTTTATAGTGGAATAGTGACCACAACTCCAGTGTCTGCCAGATCTTTCTGGAGGGATCGTGCAGTCAAACGTGGGTTTTGAATTGTTTTTCTCACAATCCTGCGAGCTGTTCTGCCTGATATTTTTCTTGGTCTTCCAGATCTTGCTTTAACTTCCACTGTTCCTGATGACTGCCATATCTTAATTACATTCCGAACAGAGGATATTGACATCTGAAAACGCTTTGCTATCTTCTTATAGCCTTATCCAGCTTTGTGAGCATCAACTATTTTCAGTTTTCTAGACAACTGCTTAGAAGAACCCATGGTGCTGATTGTTGGGGCAAGGTCAGATGAGTCTGGGCATTTAAAACCTTTGAGATTGACATCACCTGGTCTTCCCAGACGATGATTGAGAACAATCCATGACACTGGCAGGTCTCAGCTTGGCAAAGGGGGCAATGCATGCTATAAATTCTGCAGGGTGCCCAAACTTTTGCAGACGCCATTTTTTTGTTTTCTGTTATTTTGAAAGTGTAAATGATGGAAATAAAATCTAACTTTTGTTGACATATTATAAGAATGTCTAATCTGTAATTTGATGCCTTTTGGAGATTTTTCCATCTTTCCTTGGCTTCTTTATGCACATTAATACAAATTTTTAGCTGGGGTGCCCAAACTTTCGATCCCCACTGTATATATATATATATATATATATATATATATATATAAAATATTTATTTGCAGCTAAATTTGTACAAGCCAAATTTTACCGTAAAGCCATAATTTGTTTTTTTTAGAACGTCTTGGATTTTTACCGCTGTTTTCATCCTTATTGGGAAGATTCGCCATTTTCCGTTGTCCTGGTGACCATTGTCACTGGTACTGGATATGATTGTGAAATCAAAACTTTTTGACAGTCACCAAAACAGGAATTGCTGGGAAATGGTCGCTGGAACACCTCTTCTGCTGACAACCGTCTAAGGCATCTGTCGTCAACCAGCGTTCCTCCAGAGGTTACCGAGGGGTTCCTTGGGCTGTGACTGATTGGCCTCCCATTTGATGGTGCCTGCAGGTTCCAGGGCCAACAGGGCAGAGCCAGCAGCATGACACCAATAAAGCTAGCATTCTGACCACCACTATAAGGGGGCGTTCTTCTCACTGATCACCAATGTAAAGGGCACCCCCTGACTTACCAATCAGTCAGTTTTCATGAGACCCGAAAATGATGTCAAGGGTTCCCCTGTGATAAAAAGGTTGAGAAAGGCAGGTTTAACAGCTTGTGTTGCCCTCCGATGAGTGATCTGTGGGGGATCACTTTTCAGACAGCATTTGACAGGAAGCCGGAAGGCGTTATGTCACCTCCTCACCAACTGTTTTCACCCGTAATAGCTTGCGCCACCCTATGGTAACCATGTGCATTACAAGCAGTTGCAGGGTGTTTGCTGTGTGGCTCCATACATTTGAATAGGTACTGCCCAGGTCCTGAAAGTGACAGAGGGTAAAATTCTTGCACTGTGGCCATGGTACGTAGGCATCCCTTTGCAAGGGGCACCTTAGCCTTAGAGAGGATATCTCCTCATGTTGGAAAGATTATCGCTCACTGCTAGAGCTAGTGATGGCCTTGGGTTCAGTCCAAACCGAAGCTGTCATTGCCAGGCCAATTAGCTGAGACCAGGATATTGCCTGACCTGCAGCTACACTTACACAAAGGGGCAAGAGGGCCCTCCACATTATTGACCTAATATGGCCATGTGACCATGACAACATTGACCTAATATGGCCATGTGACCATGACACCATTGACCTAATATGGCCATGTGACCATGACACCATTGACCTAATATGGCCATGTGACCATGACACCATTGACCTAATATGGCCATGTGACCATGACACCATTGACCTAATGTCACCATATGGCCATGACAATAGTGACTTAAAATGGCCAAGTGGCCATGACATTACTGACCTAATAGGGCCACATGGCCATGACATTACTGACCTATTAGGGCCACATGGCCATGACATTACTAACCTATTAGGGCCACATGGCCATGACATTACTGACCTATTAGGGCCACATGGCCATGACATTACTGACCTAATAGGGCCACATGGCCATGACATTACTTACCTAATAGGGCCACATGGCCATGACATTCTTGACCTAATAGGGCCACATGGCCATGACATTATTGACCTAATAGGGCCACATGGCCATGACATTATTGACCTAATAGGGCGATGTCACGAGCGTTCCTTTGTGTATGTGTAGTTATGGGGCGAGCAATATGGGGAATTATGAAGGGTTCCCACCATCCCTGTGCTGAGTTCCCAGGTCTGTACACCTGCTGTGCTCAATACGAGGTGTTCCCACCATCCCTGTGCTGAGTTCCCAGGTCTGTACACCCGCTGTGCCCAATACAAGGTGTTCCCACCATCTCTGTCCTGAGTTCCCGGGTCTGCACACCTGCTGTTTCCATTATGAAGGGTCTCATCATCCCTGCAGTGAGTTCCCAGGTCTGCCCACCTTTTATGCCCATTGTGAGGGGTTCCCACCATCTCTGCCCTGAGATTATAGAGAATAAAACATCAGGAGCTGGAAGCTGGGCAGACTGGTGCTCAGAGCAGGTTGTGTAACGCACAGTCCTCATTGTTTGCCCCAGGTCTGAACTGTTATGGCAAAGTCCTTTTCTTCCAAACTGTTCATTAAATAATAAATGTGAAGACAAATATAAATAACTCTTTATTACGAATATAAGGTGTGTAAAGTGTGTGCTTCCCCTTCCTGAGATGATCTGGGAGCCCTGACCTCGGAATGGGGCCCCCTATAGGCAGCTGACAGCCCAGCTCTGGTCACACCCTCTAGGAGTAGACGACATGTTAATAAAGGAGCAGAGCGGGCATTTGCTCCACAAAGACAGGTACCTATCAAGAAGGTTCTAAAGCCACTGATATCTCCAGCTCTGGTGGTCCAGGGAGCCATGACACTCTGTATTATAGAGACACGGGGGTGAAAATAAGTATGTGAACCCCTTGGAGTTAACTGGTTTTCTGCAGTTATTTGTTATGAAATGTGATCTGATCCAACAACAGACAAACACAATGTGCTAGGTGGCTGATTGGATGCTGGCACACCATGTGACTTTGACGGCCATCTTGGGTCAGTCTTTTTAAGACCCTGGCCCCTGTGTTTGGCATGCATTTCTGCAGGTGGTACTGTAGGGGCAGGATAGCCAGCTGTATGTCATGGACAATGCTTAGCATCAGGGAAAGGTTCTGGAGGAGTAGATAAAGTGCAGGGACATATCATCCTTCCTGGAAGCCTCCCCATTTGACCAGCCAGGCTGCATTCAGTCCCTCCAGATGGAAGCTGTCGGCACCTCCAAGACTTCAGTCTTCTGTCTCATCACCGTTACATCTTGTGAGTGTTCCTGGCTGGGTCGCCTTCCACCAGGTCACCTTCCACCGGGTCTGTTGTGTATTGCTGGACTTTTGTTACAATATATTCCTGTTAGAGCACTTGGACTCCGTGTGTTTTCTGCCAGCAGCACCATGCTGCACCTATTCACAAGTGCTTTCAGTAGCTCTGGATCGGACCTGCACAACGTTCAGGAGGTATTTTTGGCTCTTCCTCTTCACAAAACTGCTTCTGCTCAGACACATTTGTAGGATGTTTGGTGGGAACGGTTCTCTTGAGATTATTCCTCATCATCTCCATGAGGTTAAGGTTTGGTCCTTGACTTGGCCACTTTCAAATAGCGCATTTTGTTTTGTCTATACCAGTCTGTGGTGGATTTACTTTGATGCTTGGGGTCATTGTCCTGCTGCATCATCCAACTTCTGCTGCTCCAGCTGGTGGACAGCCACCCTGACATTATCCTGTACAATTTTTCCTCAATGATGGCAAGTGGTCCAGGCCCTGAGGCAGCAAAGCAAGGCCAGAACATGTTTCCTCCACCACACGTCACCATTGAGATGATGTTTCGATGTTGGTAAGCTGTGCCCATACATAGTAATGAGTATTCTTCCCAAACAATTCAACTTTTGTTTCATCAGTCCACAAAACATTCTCCCAATTGCATTGTGGTTGTCCAAGGTGCTCTTTGGCAAACTTCAGGTGTGCAGGAATGTTTTGGGTTTTTTTTGAAGAGCAGCAGCTTCCTCCATGGTGTTTTGCTATGGACATCCTTGTGGGCAGTGCTCATATGGGCACAGGGAGAGAGTGCCCATATGCTGGTGCCCCTAGAGGCAGGCTGAGACTAATACGCAAGGTAGCACTACATCTTAAAAGCAACGCCTCTCCACACAGAAGTAATTAACTCCATGGGCCAACTTCTGTAACTCTACATTGTACACTACAGATGCCAGTTCCGCATTACACTTCATAACTCTACTCTATCTTTTGTGCAGCATTTCTGAACTGGTGCCACCAAGCTTGCACTGGACCCCACCAGCCCAGTTACCAGTCACCCCCATCCCAGTGACATTGATTTGTATATTACACTTGTACATAACCCATGCCTATTATCTCCCGAGGCTTCACTCATCTTTCATGATTTCCAGACTGTGTCCCTAGAATTCCTTGTGGCGCGAGTAAGACCTAACAGTGGGGTTCTGGTCGCTAGGTAAGGAGCCAAAGCACAGAAGCTCCTTCACTACCAGGGCCCTCCATCACCTATGCCAAATCACACCGCTTCCAGACTGGCTGACTACTTATGCACTTGACACTAGTTCTTTAGTCATTGGTAATATAGCCTCCGCTGAATAGCTGCACTGCACGTTAGCCATCTGTACTGCATCTTCTCTATCTTATCTTGTCCTCGAGTGTAAACCCTGATCTTCTGATACCCCAAGCATGCATGCACCCCTTTAAGAGTGTCCTAAAGTGACTTCAGACCAGGCAAACTTATGTAATAAAAGTTTTTTTTACTAAAGTAGTAGGAATACAACTGAACAGTTCAACTTGGATATTTCCAACGCACATTCCTATACAAGTTCTTCTAAGTGCCCCTTGGTGCCCCTCAAGATAGTTATACCTTAGTAGGTGGGAAGGTCCTTTAGCCCGGGTTCACACTTGTGCAGCTCGGTATATCGCATGTGATTCGCACCGCATTTCTGTGCAATCACATGCAAATTGTGTGTGGTGTGATTGGAGCCATACATTTTGTATGGCTCAAATCGCACCATATAAAAACCAAAAAGGTGCAGGAGCCTTTTTTTGGTCCGCACTAGAATTGGATTGCATGGGTAGTCACAACCATGCGATCCAATTCTGAACATCGCACCGCGTTTTGTGGACCCGCAGCTGTTCGCATGAATGGGGTGCGATTGTGATGCGGTGCAGAATTCACACAGAAAATGCTGTGAATTCTGCATCAGTGAACCCGGGTTTAGAGTCCTGGAAGCCCGACAGGGTTCCTGCAAGGGGTGGTTAAGCGAAAGTAATATATCACATCCTTAGCAACATACTTGTTCCTTGGATGGGATACTTTTATTTTTTATTATTTAATTTTATTTATTTCAGGTACTTATATAGCGCTGTCAATTTACACCGTGTTTTACATATATATTGTACATTCACATCAGTCCCTAACCCTCAAGGGGTGTACAATCTAAGGTCCCTAACTCACATTCATACCTACACATACTAGGGACAATTTAGACAGGATCCAATTAACCTACCAGCATGTCTTTGGAGTGTGGAAGGGAAACCTGAGTACCCGGAGGAAACCCATGCAGGCACAGGGAGAACATGCAAACTCCAGGCAGGTGGTGCCGTGGCTGGGATTCAAACCAACGACCCGGGTACTGCCAGGCGGAAGTGCTAACCATTTAGCCACTGTGCTGCCCAATAATTTGTAGCTGAACCTCCAGCCAACTTACAAACAGCATTACCCGAGTGGCAGTTCCTGCCTTTTTTTTTATGTGTTTTCCCCAGCAGAGGGCAGTACTTCCCAAAAAGCCTGGGAAACACCTGAACGCCAGTGTTAACCCTTAACTCTCAGGGAGCACCACCTCAGCAGGGCAACACAACAAAACAATAATTGCAACACAGAAATTCAACCAACAGATTTTAACTAAGAAAACAACACAACGATCTAGCAAAACATAAGAACACTTTACCACCACCTGCTTACATCCTACCTGTTCGAAGACTTACGTACGGTACACTCATGAACAAGGATGTTTGCCAGTTCCAGTGATGTCTTCAAGCCTTTAGCTGTTACTCGTGGGTTCTTCTTTGTGCCTTGGGAGTCATCTTGGCTGGGCACCCAATTCTAGGAAGAGTAGCCACAGTACTAAACTGACTCTATTGATAGACAAGTTGTCTGTCAACTGAAAGATGCTGAAACACTTGAGATTGCTTTGTATCCCTTTGCAGCTTTATGCAGATCAGCTACTCTTGATCAGATGTCTTTAGAGAGCTCCTTTTTCTGAGGCCTAGTTCACATGAGCTGATGCTTCTTAACAGCAATCGTAACAATTTTGAGCATCTTTTTTCGATCAAAGTAGCTCTAGACCACACCTCCAAACTCATCTTGGAGACCACACCTCCAAACTCATCTTGGAGACCACACCTCCAAACTCATCTTGGAGACCACACCTCCAAACTCATCTTGGCCATCTTGGAGACCACACATTCAAACTCATTTCACTAATTGGACTCCAGGTGTGCAAACTACTGACTACCACACCTCAAAACTCATCTTGGCCATCTTGGAGACCACACCCTTCAAACTCATCTTGGCCATCTTGGAGACCACACCTCCAAACTCATCTTGGCCATCTTGGAGACCACACCTTCAAACTCCTTTCACTAATTGGACTCCAGGTGTGCAAACTACTGACTACCACACCTCAAAACTCATCTTGGCCATCTTGGAGACCACACCCTTCAAAACTCATCTTGGCCATCTTGGAGACCACACCCTTCAAACTCATCTTGGCCATCTTGGAGACCACACCCTTCAAACTCATCTTGGCCATCTTGGAGACCACACCTCCAAACTCATCTTGGCCATTTTGGAGACCACACCTCCAAACTCATCTTGCCCATCTTGGATACCACATCTCCAAACTCCTTTCACTAATTGGACTCCAGGTGTGCAAACTACTGACTACCACACCTCAAAACTCATCTTGACCATCTTGGAGACCACACCTCCAAACTCATCTTGGCCATCTTGGATACCACATCTCCAAACTCCTTTCACTAATTGGACTTCAGGTGTGCAAACTACT